TGTATACGATGTATACAACGAATCGCAATTGGTTATAGAATTCGCCCTTATAATAAAGGAACTAGTTGGTACTAATAGTAAGATAGTCGAACTTGCCGCAGTCGAAGATGATCCACAACGAAGGAGACCCGATATTAGTAGAGCTAAGAAGTATTTGAATTGGGAACCGAAGGTTCCTCTAGCCGAAGGACTTAAAACGACGATAATGTACTTCGCTAAGGAATTAAAAAAGACGAAGCATTCTCAAAAAAATAGTATCAAACAAACGTCTTACAAGAACGATCATGACATAGTAGAACAACTCTAGAAAACAAAATATCAATACGATTGATTTATCCACTTCTGAGAAAGTGGCTTCGGAAAGTGCCATTATGCTATGGACCAGTATGTGCCAAAAGATTCCCCGTCCAAATTGAATTTTGTATTAGTTTAGAATATCGACGGGTTACATGTTCTTAATTTAAAGTGGGAAAAGAACATTTCTGTAACGAAATTGATATTTTGTGTACGCAATCGATATTTCAACTTTGTTTCATAGCAATGTTTCGTATGTAATTTTATTTATTATTCGTGATAGTATTCAATAGTATTGAGTCCAAACGGTGACATCCTTGAAACATATTACTTACTTTGTAATAGAATGGAACGATTAATTTATCGCTATATAATTTATAGTTTTAGTGATTGTTTGTGTGGTGGTGCTAGGGGAAACGATCAATATTATTTTTCCCTGTGTGAATTATTAAGCTAAATTCTATAACTTTAAATAATGTTACGCTGGATTTACTTAATGTTTCTACATAATCGGTTTTCCTCCGATCGTACGTGACTGTTTATCGTCGGATTTCCTTAACGATGTATAATAGCGGTATTACTCGACATGCACTTGTAATTAGCAACTCTTCAACATGTGTTTCTTTCATTGAATTTTTATTATCGTAAGGCGCTCGAATGTCTGTAATATACTAGTAATTGTACCGTGTAATACAGTAAGATTGTAATATTTCGTGAGTGTGTAAACAGGAAAGTAATTTTATACTGTACGAGAAAATGTATTGTACGCGAACAACACGTGTAAAACACTTTTGTAAAGACAGCTCTCTTTCGTCTCGACGACTCGTGGCGTTTAATTTATATACGAATATACCGATGCCGCGTCACAAGTGTAGAAAGAAATATAAAGTCATTGCTTGCATTGTAGCATGCCATTAACTGTACATCGAACGACCATCATCGCCTGTCATGTTTTTCAAGAAAGAATTTCCAACGATCGCGTCTCGAGAACAACGGCACGTTGTTGCATAACGAGCCGAGTGATTCTTCTTGTCCGGTTGCTCTCCAACTAGATAATATTATAATTCCACCAAGCGTGACCACTTGCTGAAGATGCATTCCAGGGCGAGATTGAAGAATCGCCCGCGCCGTTTATGGCGCATTTGAAGGGCCGATTGCTCGTAATGGGTGTCGCGTGGGCCTTGACAGGGCGCACGTGGTCGTCCTGTCTCGAAGACAGGAAAGAGAGGAATGGCCAGCCAACGATCGAAAGAAGGAAAAAGAGGAACGAAACAGATTGGCGAGAGCAAGGGAGAGGAGGAGAGTCTCGGCAAGACTCGGTGATTCTTAACGATAATCATCGCATCCGGGATATGCCGTGGCTTTGTCGTCGTGCAGACGAAAACCGCCGCAAGGGTGAAGATGACCTAATCGTTGAGGAGACAGGCCGCTAACGACTACAGAGGAAACAAGGCGGATAGAGGCCCTCCTCGCCTTTTCATACTTTCACGCGACCGGTTACACGTTTCATTTTAATCAAGCAGCACGTTTTAATTACAAGCGGCCGTGCACAAGCTTTATACAAATAGCCAGATGATGATGAGTACTTGGAACAGGTTGCCGGCATCGTGAACGTTTCTCTCTTTTTTGTCTTCCATTGAAGTAACCAACTCGTTAAAAAATGCGTCACAACGACTGAATGGTACACGTTAATGAACCACGGGGGGTTGTACCACCGCGTAATCGACGAACTTCAACGACTTCCTGTCTGCGGCGACCGGAGGAACAGGTGACCTAATTCACGGTAAAGTAACTCTTGCTCTCTATCCGCTGGTGGTCCGCTGGTAATCCGATCTGTCTATTGGTAAATGAGACGGGGGGTCGTTCGTCTAACGTTGGCTCAGCACGTGAGCAACGTAGCCAGTTCTTACTTGCTGAACTCAGGCTGAACGAAGGGGATGTTTCGATCGAGGTGAAGATGAACGACTCGATTCGATTAACGCGAAGCTCATTTTATGCAGTGGCATAGATACGTACGATGTGCAAAGAACGAATACGCGACGGGAAAGATATGAAGGGAAAAGAATGAAAAGGAAACGAGCCACGAGACAAGAATACCGCCAGATGCGATCAAGAACGAGGAGCCGAACCAACCAACGAGGAGCGAGTTTTTGAGTAAACGTATTCATCGTAGATCCCGGCGGTTCATTCTCGCCCGACTGCGAAGCAAATGTATTCTATTCTTATTGAAAGAAAGCGGAACGAGCGTTGAGATGAAGACGCCAGATACCCTCGATAGGAAGTTCGCACGCTTTGGCTGGCTCGAACAGGGGAGAAAGAGAGTGAGGGAAGCGAGGCTAAATTATTGATGAAAAACAGGAATTCGTCGCGAAGCGATGGGACGGCCGATCGGGAAGTTTTCGCGTGAAATTTGCATTGCGGATTTAACATGCCCGTTACCCGGGCAGCCGTTCATCTCTACTTTGTCGCTGCATTATGTATGATACGCACACAGCGGAGCTCCTCGAGCTTGCAGCAGCCCTGCTACGGATTCGAAAGTGTCGCAGACTACTCGACACACATTCCCCTATCTAACCTTCCCGGTGCTTATCTCTCGCGTACTACCTTTTAACGTACTATCAGCCAACATTCTTGCGTCCTCGTGGTTAATGATAAAAGCAAGAGTCTCCCAGGGGGAGAATAACCACCGGCCAGCCCGTGCTGGGGTATATATCGGTTTTTCCAATAAACTTTCTGGGAACTCGGCCATGAAACACTCGTCGTAATACGCGCACGCCGTTTCATGGAATTCTGAATAGAAAATTTACCGAGAAGATTCCCTCTGAATGCACCATTTTATTCATATGCTACGCCGGGGACTATTGTACGTACTGTACGTACAGTAGCTCGGAGTGATACGTTCTTTACGTTCTCAGGATACTTTCGTTTATTACGATTGAAATATCGCGATAATTTCACCTTGACATACTAATTCATAAGTTTTATCTACAGAACAGGATACTTAATTTTACAAGGTTACATCGCGATGGAAGCGGATCGTTCGTTTGGTAGTGTTACCTTATAATTATTTACGTTGTTCAAAGTTCTTCGAATATCATTCTAAGAATAGAAATGCCAGTCATCGGTGAACGCAATCTCTTCAGACTGTCGATAGATCTTATTATAAAATGACGAATCATTAAGATGCCTTGTTGACGGCATAATTGCTCGAAATAAATACATTGAAATACGTCGATGTTTTGGAACCGTCCGTCAGCATCAAAGCGAGATCGAGTACCAGTTCACAAACGGAGTTCGCGCAATTATCCCGTGATAAACGCGTCTGAGCGTCATTATTACATGCCATCGAGACACGTTTACGCGTGATCTACGAGACTTTAATTACGCCCTCGGGCCAGCCGGAAAGGAATAAACGCGTCAGAGGAAAGCATTTGCGTGAGCGGCTAGCTGACAGGTCGCTACGGCTGCGACAAAATGGAATAAAACGAGTCAGTCAAAAGTTGCCGGTTTTCGACGAAATTCGTGAACTTACCAGGGAGTGTGTGGGTGGGTGGGTGGTGGAGGAGGAGATCGTGCTGCACGAAACATTGTAATAATTGTAATGGAATTACGTTCCGATGAGAATGAAACGGGACAACGGGATAAGGAGCTTTTGCTTCCCGGTATTTCGTTATTCGGATATTTCCTCTCTGAGCACGCATAAGCTTCCTCTCGCAAACTCTCTTGCTCATTCGATAATAATGGATTGTTGCAGCGAACGTAAAGGGAACGGTGCTGCTTTGCACCGTGCATTCTAATTGGCGAAACTGAAGTGCAATTTAATATAGGAGATTCGGGACGAAATTTACAATTTACCTTCCGTCCTTTGTACGTTCGAATTTACGAATTTCCCGGGACTTGCACGTTCACCTCGATTATTTTCGATTGACGCCCCAGATTTGAATTGCCATCGAACGTAAACCAAATCGAAATTTATTTCCGTAGAGGAGGGGCATAGTTGGGATTTATATTTATAGGGGCAATACTCGGGGAAGCAGTACTCTGCTTCGCTCTGCTTCAATTAATTAATTAATTAATTAAAAGATAGAAGTCGACTTCAGTTCATTAGATTAACAAATATACGCATTGATCATACCTGCTATTAAAACGCAGAACCAGTAAAACTAAGCTTCTCAGCTTATCAACAACGTTTGCACATCGAGGCGAGCCAGTTCATCGCCAGGTTTCCACCTTCACGAGGCGCACCATTTTCTCCAAGTCGCAGGAATGCTAACGCCGTGTATGTATGTACAAGTTTGCCCTTTCACGACATATTCACGCCGTCCAGTTTCCCCACCTGAAGAGCAGATAGACACCCGAGAGCCTGTGCACAGCTTCTACGAAAACGCATAAACATTTCACCTGGACCGCCCACTCTCCGGGCCCCGGTCTCCGCAATATCGCAAATATTCTGGCGCCATCGACTTTCCTGCCTGCAGTCTAAATAAATAGACGATCGACGAGGACTTAGTTATGCATGCGACTCGGTCAAAGCGAGCACACGACGACACAGTGTGCTCGGGCTGGCTGAATACTCGACGAACGACGGCTTGAACAAGTGGCCTCTGCCTTTTCGATAGCTTCTACAAGAGCTATGATTTGTTTCTCGCCGGACGACACGCGGACAGACT